CCCCCCCCCCACACTGTGCCAGGGAACAAACGATGATGAGGCCTGTTTGGTCGCCTAGGAGGACAGCAGATGATATTTGCCATGAATTCCTATCATAGTAAACATGAGAAAAGTCGGCGTTGGGTTTTCCCTTTGAGCCCCCCCTTCCTGGCGATGATCAGAGGAAAGCACACTGAGTGGGGGGGGGGGGGTTCAGTGCACCACCTGGGCAGCTCACGTAAGCGGCGGAGGATAATCACGATGCGAGCAGGTAGGAGGTGGGCATGCGGGGGCCTGTTACCATGCCGACTGACAAGCTGCCGATCCGCCCCCTTAGCTTGTTTTCTCGTGACCGTCTTTGTGTGAACTTGGCACCTGCTTCACGTGCCTGATTATGAAACTTGAAGTCACGCCCCCCCCCCTCCCCAAATGTGGACTGAGATCCTGAAATATGTTCCCCCCCAGTCAGAAAATGCACAGCTCCAACTCCGGAGATCAGCGATGGCGAGGGGGATGGCACAGAGGACCGGGAGATGGAGGGGGAAGAGGCGGAGGATGGGAGGAGGGGAGCGACCCGCCCGGGTGACGACATGCCCACACCCCCCCAGCCCACTTCCAAAATCAGCCTCTTCCACATCTTGCAGGATGGCTGGGAACTCAGGTCAGCATAAGCCCGAATCCCCCCCCATGCCTTCGTCAGGCTGGCCTGCTTTTCGCTGCCCCCCCCGGCATTCGGTAGCCCCAGCTGGTGCCCCCACCCCCTTTCACTTTCACTGCTGAAGTGTGTTTATCCTCCTCACACGAGAAGGTCTCCTCCATGCATCATAGTCACAGAGTCCAGTGAGGGGCGTGGCCTAATCGCCCCTCCAATCAGGAACATCGGCTGTCCGTCTCTGTTCTGATGGTGATTCTTGGACGGGTGGCATCTCGTCCTGGTGCCTCACACACTGGCTCTCTTCCCACAGCGACATTAATGAGGCTCACATACAGATTCCTGGCTGCTGTCGTTTTTTTTCTCCCAATGTTATTTTCTTAATGCGCATCTGAAATCCTAATTGGAAGGGGAATTATAATGACAAGTCTGAGTTTGCAGGCATTCCTCTGCGCTTGCCAGCGTTTCGGAGGAGCCGGCCTGATCACAGCACACTGTATCATTGTTGTGTTTGACACTTTTCCTTTCTTTCTGAAAACACCTTTCTACCCCTTTGCCGAAAGCGCAAATCCTTTCCCTCCATTGTAATGACATTCGGGACATGGGGGGGAGAGTGTGGCCATGTGACACATGACTCCTGTCTGAGGTGTCTCCCCCTGCTGGCGGTCCCGGGTGCAGCCGGCCCTGGGGTAGCTGTCGGTTTTCACACTGCTGCTCAGGGTCAAGTCAGGATCTCGCTTTATGTGATCAACACGTGTGACTTACTGTCACTTCTGTCTGTTGCCCTCCTTCTCTCCTGTAATCCATCCCCCACCCCCCCCAGCAAAGTGCAGGCCCGCACCACCTTCTCCTCCTACCTCCGGCGGGTGCAGGTCAGGCTGCTGGAGGAATGCAGGGGACGCCTCGGCTTGGCCTGGCAGGACAGAGACCGTGACCAAATGGTAAGCGCTTCGCTTCCAATCGCGGCCAAATCGGGATAATTAATGGGTGGTTTTGAAGTCTGTGCTCACGCGAGGTTGGATGGGAAATGGGGCTCTCCTCACGTCGGAATGGCGAGCTCTACCTGCTGGAATCGCGGCGAAGGGGAATCCGCAGAATATCTCGCTGTGAGCATTCTAAATACGCAGTCTGATTGCGAGTTCTTCATTTGGAAAATCTCTTTTTTTTTTAATTCTTTTTTTTTTAATTCTTTTTTTTAAGCCAGGGGGACAGTTTAATGTAGACCTGTAGGAATGTGAAGGTGCGGCTTCTTGTTAAGTTGTCGGGCGTCCCTGGGGCATTTACGAGGAAGTGGGCGTGGTCTCGGTGGGCAGAGGCAGGGCGGGGGTGCGGAGTGTAGCTGTGCTGCTATTCTTAGTCGGGGTGTGTGACACGGTGACCTTGACCCGATGTCCCCCCTCAGGAGCTGGTGATGCGCTTCCTGAAGCGTGCCGCTGGCAACCTGCGCCCAGAGTTGCAGATGTCCCTGCCCAGCCCCCGGCTGCCCCCTGCTGACCGCCGCCGCCTCCTGTCGCTGCAGCTGGGCAACTTCATCCAGCGCTACGACAAGGTGCCTCCCACAACGGTTCTCCTAAAGCTCTGATACTCGCCGAACTGTGCCGGCTTCTTAAAACGCAGACATCGCAGACCGGAAATGAGCGCTGCCAGGTTACTTGCTGGTCCGTGTGATTCTCTGCCCCTGCTGATGTCGGGCACCCCCCCCCCCGGTGGGATCCGCTGACCTCCCGCCTCCCAGCCGGCTGGGGCCGTTGCTGGAGATAACCTCAGGCCTCCACATGTTCTCCCTCTTCCCAGGAGACGGAGCACATGCAGCCTGTAGAGGAGGAGCGCCGGCTCGATCCAGATGTCTTCCAGGAGTTCGTGGCCAAAGCCAGGTTAGCTTCTCTCTCTGCCTGTCCTCCCGCCATTGAGTTCCTGCATCTTCTCCATTCATTCCATTGAAGAAAACTGGCTCTTTACCTCAGTCCCCAGCCCTTTGCTGGGGTTTTCTAAGCCCCTGCATTTACCCCCTCCCTCAGTGAGAGCGATCTGGAGGAGGTCCTGACGTTCTATACTCAGAAGAACAGGTCGGCCAGCGTCTTCCTGGGGACACGGTATGGGAGCAGTGGGGGCCACGCAGATCCCAGTGAAAGGCCCAGCCGGATCGGTGAGCTGATTGGACCGTCGCCGTGATGTCAGGCCCTGCCGCACATCCACCGCGGTTGCCAGTTACTCACTGAACTCATCATGCCGGAAGTGTGTCCTCAGTGGGTCCTGCAGGGGGAGAGAGCGCATGTCACTCTGGTCTAGTCTCAGTCTGTCTGTGTGTCCCCCCGTCCGCTGGGCGTCCACGCCGCTGGCTGCACTTTCCCCGCCGTTGCCACAACGGCACCAAGCAAACATCGTGCCCCCCACCCCCACCCCCACCAGCCGTATCAAACCGAGTGGCGGCATCATTCTCAGTTCATATGACTCAGATTAGCTTTGTAAAACCACAGACTTTTACGTTTTGGTATAAATCTGTTGAGGGAGCCCGGATTTCAGACTTGTGTTTTTCACACCAGTGTGAGGGAGCCATGGGGGTGGGGGGGGCTCACATGGTCTGTGCTGATTCTTTTGCTAGAAAAGCCTTGGTTTTTTAGTGCAAGCCCGACTGTGGGCTTTAGTTACGGCAACAGAAACCCACCTCATGTCCTGGCTTTAGCCCTTCAGTGGTGATTGACATCGTGGCTGCAGTTTGCGTTTTCGGCCTGTATTTAGATTTCTTTACTGCGACGTCTTAGTATTTATCGAACGTGGAAAAAATGGCGACCGGGTAAGTTTTGCCACACAGCCACGTCTTGCGCTTTACCGTTACGTTTAATGTGAAATATAGGACACCACCTGTGTCCCCCCCCCACCCGGGCTGCGGTCGTACGGCGTGGTCAGAGACCACGTGCCCCCGGCTGAGGCTGAGGTTACTCCCAGTCAGCCTTGAAGCGGCAGACGCGCCGGGGAAGTGCTCCAGTGACATATGTTATTATTACTGACGCTATTAAATAGAGTGGCCTGCAGCCGCTCCCCCCCCCCCCCAGGGGGCGCTGTGCTCGCATGTGATGAAACAGAAGGTGGGTCCCTGCCTTCGAAGCTCTGGAGGTCAGGGCCTCCCACAACCCCAGCCCCCGCTTGCCTGAAATTGTCCCGAATGTTTTCGGTTTCCCATATAGGTTTTGGCACAGACTTACCATAACCCCTGTGTGTGTGTGTGTGTGGGGGGGGGGGGGGGGGGGGGGGGGGATGTTAAATTGCTGCTCTCTGGCTTTATCTCCTGCTCCTCTGCTTCCACAGATGTGCCTGCCTCCAAGGGGGAGTCCACAACACAGGACCCCCCCAGGCCTGCCACCCCCCAGCCCCGCATCCAGGCCCCCAGGCCCCCTGCAACGTCCCCAGCCGTTGTGGACTGCGCCCACGTGCAGCTGCAACGCTGCCGGCTCCCTGCGCCCCCCCAGCCCACTTGTGACCCTCGGCCTGAAGAACCGCCGCCAGCCAGCATGGATCCCCCAAGGCGGGGGCAGCGGTGCTTTGCGCCCCCCCCCAACGTGCCAGTCTCGTCTGTGGCCGGCGCTCTGCAGATCTATAGCCAGAGGATGTCCCGGCCCATCTCTGCACGACCAAGTAACCCCCCCCCCACTAGCCAAAACATAAGGTCTGAGTCAGACCTGCAGGCAGGGAGTCAGAGGAATGTGTATGAAGCAACAGGCCTCATTACCCCCCAGGCAGCGTCACCATGGGCTCTCAGTCCTCTTAGCTCCTGCAGCTCAACAAGTACAGCAACAAGGTTGTGGGTTCTGATCCCATACATGAATTATAACCCTTCCCTCTACTACAGTGTTTCTCAAACCAGTCCTCAGACCTTCAGTTTGTAGTGGCGCCCTCTTGTTTCAGGGTAAACGCAATGCCAGCAGCCAGCCTATCTCTTCCTGCAGCTTGGCGTGACGGTTCAGTTCGTGTCAAATCGCGGGGCTCTGGTGCTCCGCAGAGGCTGTGAGTCACTAACAGTCCATGGCCCTCTCGGCTCCTTTTACTGTCTCCCTGCAGCATCCCGGAAAGCCAGCCCCTGCAGGCCCAGGCCTGACTCTGCAGGGGGCGCCACAGAGTCATCCCCAAGCCCCACCAAGCACAATCAGCAGGCCATCATGGTGGCCCTGCGGAAGCTGGTGGAGAAGCAGGCCAGCCGGCAGTATGCTGCCTCCAACCACATCAGTCTGCTCACCCAGCATGTGAGTAGTCCCTACCTGACCTTTGACCTCTCAGCTATGACCTTTCACATTGACCTTTAGGAGCCAGTCATCTCCTAATGAACACCAGGGGTGATTCTCAATACCAAGAATGCAAAGATCATACTTCGTCTTGCTAATTTGCCTACCCAAGAATGAATTTGGGGTGCAATGAATCATGGGATTGGTCTCGTTCGGCGAGGATGCAACCAATGTATTCTTCATATTTGGGGCGGAGCAAGAATGACATCAGGGGATTTTTGCTGTCCTCTGTACTTCTGGTCTTGAGTATTGGAACTGGTCTTCGGCAATGGAAGATGAAGTAAAACGAATACACAAGAACACAAGCACAGTCAAGTACACACATTGAGAAACACCCCAAGTCTGGAGCAATCTGTGAAAGGTCGATAAGTAGGTGGGCAGACAGACAGACTGATGAATGGATGGATGGAGATGTATCTTGGATGAAATAGCTAGGAGTTAAAAAGTAAGAAAGACATAGACAGTCCACCATGGGGAGTAGAGGGTGCGGTGGCTGCTGTGAGTGTCGGGAATCTCTGCTCTGTGTGTGGGATGCCATGTTTAATTACACGCTGAGTAACTTTCCGCTGACACCTTTGCGAGGTGTGGAGAGAGCTGCCTTTAAAAGCCATGTCGTTCAGCTCTGTTCCCGCGGGGCTCTTCCGGGGTCAACCGTGCCCCCGTAGGCAGAGTTGCATGCTCCCCGGGGGGGCAGAGAGTGTCACCACATGGGTGGGGGGGGGGGGGGCTCTATTGGAGCACGCAATACGTTCCAGGCGTGACCAGCAGCGAGGTTCATCCCAAGGGGCCATACACACTGGATGGTGATTCACAGGGTAACGCCCACGCCGCCCCCCTTCTGACCGTGGGGGGGCCCTGAAGCGGCGCGTCTGGAAGGTGCAGCTGCGTGTGAGGTCTCATTATCAGATGCCCCCGGGGCCAGAGCCTCCCGCTGATATTTCACAGCCACTCAGATATTCGCTAGTAATTGATGCTTATAAATAGAAGAATGTGGGAACCTGGCACCACTAGGAGAGGCGTGAGTGCTCTGCCCCCCACAGCTACGGCCCCCCCACCCTGTGTTTGCTGTACCACACAGACTGTACGTTTGTTTGCAGCCTCCTCCATGTTGCACACAAAAGGTGTTTACCATCTTTTCCTGCCGCCTCCCCCCACTCTCCCTCCCCCCCCTTGTCAGTGTTTCATATTTTGTATAAATACGAGAAGAAGAATTTGTGGGTTTGACCTTTGGGGTTTGGACCAGACCCAGGTTGAAGATCCCTGGCTCCGCGGAGGGGTTCCGTGCGAGAGAGGCTTGGCCCTCGTCCACCACAAGCGGCCCCAGGATGTGTCAGCAGCAGGCCCAGAAGCGCAGGCCTCTGTGTCCACCTACACTTTACTGGGTAAACAGTGGTCTTTAAGGTCAGGGACTTCCTTTTGAGTGTAGCCCTCAGGGGCAGGGGTAGAGGTAAGGGTGGGGTCCAGGTGAACATGGGACTCTCAGGCCGCCCCGCTCCTGAACCGAAAGCCCGGTGTGTCAGGTGACTGTCATACCGGCGGCACGCTCGGCCTTCTCTGATTGGCTGAAGGATGCAGTGCTTTCTCTGATTGGCTGAAGGATGCAGTGCCTTCTCTGATTGGCTGAAGGATGCAGCACTTCGTATCTGGACGAAATTCTTACGGGGGACTCAAAAAGCTTAACATGCTAACTCATATCAAGAGAAAGGGGATCCAAGTGTTTTTGCATAGTCATTTGACTTTACACATGCTCACTCCATCCATCCATCCATCCATCCATCTTCAAGTTGCTCATCAATTGCTATTGGGTGTCTGGAGGCAGTGCCATGCAGCATAGGACAAATATTTCTTGCATCAAGTCAAGAAAACTTTCAAGAATCCCCCCCCCCATTTGTTTCCTGAGACAAATCTCAGGTAACACCTCCTACCCGTCCTATTTGTTTTGGCTAACGCCTGTTTACCACGTGTCACTGCGCCGTGCCTCATGATGAGCGTGACCAGGGACCGGAACCCCTCTGCTGTCCCTCCCTGCCTCACTCCCTCTTTGCCTGCCTGCTGTCCATCTGCCGGTGCCCCGTTCCTTTAAGCCCCTGTCTGGGATTTATGTTGTACCCTCACCTGTCCCAGATGGTGCTTAGGCCCCAGAAAAAAACAAACATCAGCGTGTCTCTTCAAAACAGACCAGAAAAGTGTTTCCGAGATGTTTGTTTTATCTATATACAAATGTTTAATGCTTCACTTGGATGGCTTTGTAAAGGGGGACAGCATCTTCAACTGGGCTCAGCAAAAAATAAACAAATATTTATCATGTTTGCTCGTTTTCTGTATGCTGTCCTTTTTTTGTTTCCCCACTTTTTTATGGCCGGATCACTGCCGTTCCTTTTGGGCTTGCTGATTGGAGCTGACCTGGGAGGTGGATGGAGGCGGGGGGGGGGGGTATTTAATTGCCTCCCCCTCACCGTGGCGACGTGCAGAATTATTAATTCCCACTGAATTCCAGTGTAATAGCAGTTCCCGTGATAGCATGTGTGCAGCGGGACGGCAAAACCGCCGGCCACGCGATGTCCGGGGGAACAGTGCATCCTCCCCTCCCCACCCTGAGGCTTTCTGAGGTGACCCAGGCTGTGGGAGAGGGCAGAGAAGGGCGTGGGTGCGGGTGGGCAGGGGGGGTGGCACTGATTCACCGCTAATTGCCCCGTTCTGGTTGTGGACTGCTGCGCAACAGCAGGAAGGGACAGCCTCTTCACTGAAGGGTGGAGACAAGCTTCTGGGAATCCGTCCTCTGGGGGGGGGGGCTGCGCTGTTTACTCAGGGGGTGTCGTCTCACAGGGCTGGACGGGGCAGCCAGTGGTGGGGGGTGGGGATACCCAATCATTTTCGTAGTGAAACAGAGATTACCTCCGTTAGACTGCTGTGTTCCCTCGCACACGCCCAGTGCACGTCGTTATCTCAGGGGAGAGACACCCTGTTTCCCATAATTTACATGCTCTGCCATTGTGTAAGCGATCATTTATTTTTTTCATTGACTTCTCCAGCTATTCATTTATTGAAGGCTGAGTTTATTTAACTTGCATTCCCGCTGCCACAGAGGAGTTAACTCGATCTCCCACTGACCTTATCCCGGCTGAGGGATAACCCTTTTCGTGATACCTGGAGGTGTGTCGTGTTAGTCTGTGTGCTGATTATGTTTATATGACATTGTGGGGGACCAAATGTTTTTCAGATCCCCACAAAGAACTGTGAATACAATCAAAAAACTAAAAATGCCAAACGTCTCGTATTTTGTTTGGTTACTTATGGTTAAGGTTAGGGCTGGGTAGGGGTTAATAAGGTCATCATGTTGGGATTAGACTTTTCCCCTTAGAAATGAATGGAGAGTCCCCACAAACATATAATTACAAACGTGTGTGTGTGTGTGTGTCAGAGAGAGAGAGAGAGAGAGAGAGAGAATTTAGACATCTTGCTGAAACTTGTCACACAGGAAGGATTGGGGGGGAAAAAAACAACAACAACATATCTTTAAGTAAAACTAAAAGTACAAAAGCTTTCAGGAATTCAGGAATTGTTAATTAAGTAGCCACACATATATCTGTACATAAAGAATTTGGTGATTAGTGGTCATTGTTAACACACCACAGCACAGTGCGCAACAACAAAATGTGTCCTCTGCATTTAACCCATATGTGACTTTCGTGACATAGCAGGGGGCAGCTAATTCAGCACTCGGGGAGCAGTGCTTGGGGGCGGTACCTTGCTCAGGGTACCTCAGTGGTGCCTTGCTGGTCGGGGATTCGAACCTGCAATCTTTGTGTGTGTGTGTGGGGGGGGGGACTACTTATACTACATTGATAGACCAAAAGTCCCCACTATGTGATTAAAAACCTGTTATTTTGATGTTGTGGGAACAGGGGTTAAAGTCGTCATTGTTGGGATTACAGTTTTCCCCATAGAAATGAATGAACGGTCCCCACAAAGATATGAGTACAGGTGTGTGTGTTTGCACGGCCCTTACATTTCCAGCACCTTCTGTTGTCATTTCTCTTGTCAGATACCTTTAAATTTAGTCTTGGGCTCAGGGGTCCATGTATCAGTCTGAGATGGGCTTTGTTCTGCTCGCCATCTCTGCCCCAGTAAGTGTCTGCCACCTGCGTTCCTCGTTCGGGTCTGTGGGGGGCGCCTCAGCACCTTTGCGTGATCCGTTCAGAGGTTCACAGGTTACTCGTCAACACGTGTGGATGTTTCCATATTGACGTGTGTGGATTCAGTGGAGCAGAAACGGCCAGGAAACAGCCGCTGGTCACCTTCGACGGCGCATTAATGGCTTGTGCGGATTTTCCTCCTCTGCACAGCTGACAAACCTCAACCTGGCCAGTGGAGCTTGCCGGAAGGGTGCGATCGTGCTGAACGCGGACCTCCGGGACACGGCGGCGAGCCACCGGCCCCCCCGGGCCCTCCATTTGAAGACCGGGCCTGCAGGAACCGGGAGGTGAGTCGGAGGCTGCGTGTTAGTGCTGTGCTGCTCCAATGTCTTGGAGCCTTTTGGAGATGTCAGGAATTTCACTCTGTCCACAGGAACATGATCATCACAGTGATGTGATGTGTGGGAACGAGCGAGTATGTGACAGCATATCTATTTATGCAGAGAATAACATGGTGTGTTGGGTATTGTTTATTTTTACACCATGATAACGCCTCAGTGTTTAAATACCGTCACTGCAGCTGATAATGCAGGATGTAAAATGACTGTTTTCGATAAATCAGCCATGGCCGTGCTTGTTCTGTGCTTTTTTTCTTTGTTCTTGTGTATTGAGTTCTATGCTGCAGTAGTGCAACATTTCTAAGCGAGAGCTCTCTGGTCCTGGGGGGCGAGGAGGCGGGGCCGGGACGCTGCATTGTTAGCGTGTTGCTAACGCGCGTCCTGTTCCTGAGCTTAATATTAATGGTATTAGCTTGATCTTCAACTGCGTGATGCTCGATGTTTCTCTGCAGCCACCACCTCCCCCAGCAGGGGGTGCTGTGCTGCGGACACACTTTCAGTCTGCAGGCTGGGCGTGTGACGGGAGAAGCTCTGGGGGTGGGGGTGCCTACTTCGCTCGTGGCGCTTAATGCCCACTATCTAAGGGGGGCATTCACTCCGGGTTGGAGCTGCCGTGTTTAGTGCTGAACACTGGTAAGGTGTGGTTCTGATTGGGACTGTCTGGTCTCGTTCGGCGGAGGGGGGAAAAAAATTATCAAGATGGAGGCCTTGGCTTCTGCCCGGTGACGGCGTGCTTCGCGTGGCAGCCGGTCGGCGGCAGCGATGGGAAGCCGGCGCCTCCGAGTAGAAGCCATTACTGCAGAAGATAAACATCAGTGTGAAAGCTGGCTGTGGTTCGGACGCAGGAAAGAACGGCACCCTGCCAGCGGCGGCCCCAGCTGTTTGGCAGCGACTTGGCGTGGGAGGGGGCCCCATGTCCGGGGGAGTGGGGGCAGATTGCTCCTCTTACTGACAAACAGGGCGGCCTGTTTCCCTTTTAATTGGAGGCGGTTATGATACTTGAATGTTCTGGAAGGTGTTTAATCATGGTTACGTTTCTGAAACAGTGGTTCAGTGGTGATTCTTTCTGACGGCATGATGCGACTACAGGAGTCCCGAGGCTCACCTCCAGTGGAGCACAATGCCCCCAGTGTTGTCTGCGTGATCTCCCACTGATCTCCATTACTGACCCCCCCAGAAGGGCGAGCGAGGGGAATGGCCCCCGCACTGCACTGAGGGCGGCTGGAGTGTGTCTCAGCCTGGTACCGACATCACAGAAAAGCATTTTTCTTTTTGTCCCGTCCTCCATCATCTCCTCATTCATCTCCATCTTTGTCTTTGTCTACTTATTCACCTTCTTTGTCTTTGGGTTCTTCACCTCCTTCTTCTCCGTCTTAGTCTGTGTTCATGCAAACTGTCTCTCTTAATATTCCGCCTGCTTGTGATGTTCTGCCGCTGCCTTTGTGATTCTAACCCCGGGAGAGTTAACGCTCCTGTCTGAAATATAAATGGATCCTCTCCGCGTCCCACCACCTCCACGTCAGAAGCGCGCAGTGAGCGGCAGCAGCATGTGTCTGATATTTATTTAGGCGTGACGCCCGAAACTGGCCGTCCAAGTCCGACGGTGACCCAGCAGAACGCCTTCACGTGCGTCCTCCGACTGTGTGACAGGCCATTTGTTAAAACCTCGGCCCTCCACGCCCCTTCCCAAGGTCCATTATTTCTCACCCCTTAGGCAGGGAATTTTGTATCCCTGAAACAAAGGCCTTTCCATTTTACAGAGCTCCGAAGTGCTTCTCGACAAAGCCTCATTTAAGTCGCGGGCGGCTTTCTGTGAGTAAGACCCGGTGTGCCTAAATTAACCTTGGGGGGGTTTCTGCGTAATCCACATTGGACTATTTCATTGGCGCTCATTTTGGGGTATTTGGTCACAGTCAATAAAACTTAAGAGTGAGTTTTACGGCCTCTGAAGAATCTTTAAAGCTAAAACTGAAAGTTAATGTATTGAAAAGTGGCCTTTTTTAAAGTTGTGGGACCGCTGTGTTTTGCAAGGTTCTTTTTATAGAACCCCTTGAAAAGAAAAGTTTTTAATAATTTTTTTTAGCGTCACACTTTAACTGCGGTTCTGTGTAAGTGGGTGGAATGAGCCGATAGCTCCGTGGGGGGGGTGCAGGGACTGACTGTGGCGCCGGGGGGGTCGACAGCCGCTCTTACTCAGAGCTCGCGAGTCATGCCCACTGCTTGTGTCGTGTTCCAAGGACACCGGATCGCGTTTAGAGCCCCCGCCCTCTGTGGACTGTTTTGTATGTAAAATCGGGTGCTGTTATGCTGAATCAATATCCCCCCCCCCATAACTGTCATTGCGTCACCTAAGCGCAGGTGCCTGTGCTTCTGTTGGTTGGGGGCTATGTGTCGTACCCCAGTGCCTGCCGAGGGTTAACCCCCCCCCCCAACCTACTCAGCCGCTATTTTTACAGTGATACGTCCTTTATGTATGGAACTGTCAGGGAATTCATGGAATGTCTGGCTTTTTCCCTTTTTAAAATGTTTTTATTTCCACAGAAGGAAACGGTGGGAGGGGTTATTAAATTTGTATATAATTTTTTAAATAAATGTATATTACAGACGAGGAGATGGAATGGAGGTAACCCACGGGGCCGTGGAGATCCTGCAGAAAGCAGGCGGCTGGGTAAATGGCTAATCCTCCCAGCAGCCGTCCCACCTCTCAGCCCCCCTCCCCCCCCCAAGCGTCTGTGCGAGCAGGCATCCGAGGGGGACATCGCAGACAGAAAGTAAATGGCTTTTCCTGCCGGTTCCCCTCATCCTCCCGACTCTGTGGAGCTGGCCAATGGACGGCCTGCTTCTCCCCGTTCCCACGGAGACCGAGGGACCATTCGTGTCTGTGAACCTGGTGTTATTGCCCCTAATGAAACGGTCAGAGGGACGGGCTGCCTCTAAGCCCCCCACCCCAGTCCACCAGCTGCTGTGCCCGTGCCAAACATGCTGAAGCGGTTAGGTGCCCTGGCCAGGCGCAGGAAGCAGCAGGGGCGTAGCACAGTGGCCTTCAAAGTGAGCCGGGCCCTTTGAAGACCCGTGCAGGAGGGGGGGTGCGGCAGGTATGTTGGCTCCGTGCTCTGAGGGACGCTTCCCACTGATCCCCCACCCCACCCCCATCATCTGCTCCGAGCAGGCGGCGATGTATGAAACCCGGGCGGAACATTTGGGAAATTAACCCTCTCCCTGGCCCTCTGCTCACATGCGTGGGAGTCCGGCCTGAAACACGTGGCTTCCCGACTCTCAGTGACATCCCCCCCCCCCCAGTCTGTGCGGTCCACGTCCCATCCTGGTGGAGTCAGCCTTCTGTCTCCAAGCCTTAATACTCCGTACAGAGGCAGGAATATTCCGACCCTTATGGGATTGTTTCGGCCATCCCGCCCGCTTCTGGGTTTCTGGGTTTGGGTCTTTTTTCGTCCTTGGCTCAGGTGGAGGCCAAGTTTCCCGTAAGCACTTGGGTTCCGCTTCAGTTTTGTTCTAATGTGAGCGGTTTGGAATTATTGTAATGGAAAGTCATAATTGTCGGATGGCTGGGTCTGGAACAGACAATGGTAGGTAACTCAAGCCTGGGTAATAAATGTAATACTGGTCTGTGAGACTTTTTCTCGTCCCCGGCCACCTAAATGTGGCCCCTCTCTTTCTTTTATCTGAATATTTAAATAACCGCCAGCCCCCCTTTGCGCCCGCTCGCCCCCTTTACGCCGAAACACAAGTATCATATCCATTCTCCGTTTTTAGCTGTAGCTCTGCCTCCTGTCAGGTTCCGGTTTCCAGTAAATCGGGATGAAAAGACCGAGTCGGGAATTGGAACCGGAAATAGCGAAAGAACGTCTGCGCTGAATTCAGCCAATCGGCGAGCGGGAGGCTGTCAGGTCGAGACCCGCCCAGACTTGGCAGGCATTTCCACGTTCGAGGCTTTAAATCTGCATTAGAAAAGCTGCCTGTATGCAAATGATTGGCTGGTATTTGGCAGGTAATAATTTAACTCATCAGAGTCAATTTCAGTACGCTATCAGGCAGTGTGTATCCCTGGAAATGTGCTCAAGCTGTTTTGTGTGCCTGGTCATTCCTTACCGTGTCCCTGGTCCTGGCATTTTTTTGGCATTACTGTATTGGCAAATCGGGGCCTGAGGTCATAAAAGGCTTCATACAAGCAGCATCAATCAATTTGCAGATGGAACAAAGACCATCAGAAACCTTGGAGGGAAAAAAAACCCTGAGAAGCTCACGTGGGCAAGGGGATGTGAGGCTGGGCTTTTTTCCCCCTTGTTTGATCTTCTCCTTTTAATAAAATGTTTTTTTATTTTTTTTTTTATTCACCTTAATTGATAGCAGATGTAACACTGTGCAGCTCGGCGTTCCCTGTGGACGGAGAGTGAGAAGTTCCATTCCCAGATAACAGGGCCGCGGTAACGAGCGCACAGGGCTGCGCGGAAAGGGCCAGAGTTAACCCCTTCCTCCGTGGGCCTTTTCCACGGTGTGGAGGCGAGGCGGGGGGGGGTCTCTGAGTGTTTGGCAGTGCTCTCCGGAAAGGCCTTGTGCTGATTAGCTGGATCACGTAAGGGGTCACGGCCACGCTGCGGCCCCGGGAAGGGAGGTGGATGGCGGGGACGGTGAGTTAGATTAGATTATGCGTTAGCCTCGCGCTAGCATGAGACTTATGTTGATTTTAAGCCGTTTTGGACTTGCTGACTTCCGCCCGCCCCATCCAGCTGCTGATGCGTTAGCCTTATGTTAACCTCGCACGAGCGTGTGGCCTGTGTTGAATTTAAGCCCAATCTGCACTTCTGACCACAGGCCACTCTATACAGCTGCTGATGCGTTAGCCTTATGTTAACCTTACACCAGCGTGCAACACGTTTTGATTTTAAGCCCAATCTGCACTTCTGACCACAGGCCGCCCCATCCAGCCGCTGATCTGTTAGCTTCACATTAGCCTCATGTTAGCCTCATGTTAACCTTGCGCCAGTATGTGGCCTGTGTTGATATTAAGCCTTATAGGCACTTCTGACCGTCGGGTACCCCATCTAGCCACTAGTGCGCTAGACTCACGCCAGCGTGCGGCCTGTGTTGATTTCAAGGTCAGTGGGCATTGCTGACCACCCCATCCAGCCACTGACTCGTGTTAGTCTTATGTTAGCCTCATGCTAGAGTGCGGACCGTGTTGGTTTTAAGACCTACCGACGCTGCTGATCGCCGGGCATGCCATCCAACCGTTGACGTATTAGCCTCGCATTAGCCTCATGTTAGACTCGCATTAGCCTCATGTTAGCCTCGCATTAGCCTCGCGCCTGTGAGCTGAATGTGGCCTGGCCATGCTAGTCCCCCTCCCTCCCCATACCTTTTTCTTGATGCATGATGAGGTTCCCTAAGAGGGCTCTGTGTGTCATTGGCTGGGACAGAAGGGGGAGGGGGGCATGTCAACTTCTAATGGGTGTGTCAATTCCGCGAGCGTAGAACCCTTTGAGTACTCCTGCTCATGTTCCTGCGTCTTACTGCATCCCCAGGGGCTCTCTGAGTTCATCTTCCACCCCTCTTTTAACCTCGAGTTCCCCTCCTCTAAGCCAGAACGTAGTTAACAGCCCCATTTCCGCCCCGGCCGTGTTTTCCTGACGGCCAGCAGCTCGCAGGTGGCATTTCCAGCGATCCTCCACTTCATCTTTAATCTGACCCCATGGTCTTTTTAAAGAGATGCTCATTTCCAGGGCAACAGGACCAGCCCAATAAGTTAAATGGGGGGAGGGGTATCAATGAGCCGGCTTCTAGTGAGAGAGAATCCGGTTTTTATCGGGAAGTATTCCTTTCTCCATGAACCGGTGTGGGGTGGGGGGTTGGCGCCCTTTCCTGTGGCTGTGCATCCCCAGCCAGCAGATCCTGGGTATTGTCCATCTTGCTCCTTGGACTTAGAAAGGCTGAAGCGAGGAAGGTAATGGGCCGGCAGATCAGTTAGGTTCTCATGTCGCTTTGAGTTATCTTTGTAAATGAACAGACTAATGACAACAGTCTGCTCGTGGTTTAAGCCCAGTCCCTTTCTGTGTTCTGGTGTCAGCAGGGTAGGAATTATAATTCATAACAGTATCAGCATTTTTAAGCACTTCCTTTCTGCCCCGTTCGGCTGTGATTGCTTGTGGCCTCCCAGCAGGGCCCCAACCTGTCTGAAATAGCTGAAATTCGCAGGTTCAGCCAGGGTTCCCTGCACGGCTGCGTCCTCCTGAGACTCTGGGCACTCAGGAGGCGCCGAAGTTTGTTTGATTGCTCATCTCTGCAAATGGGAGCTATAGCAGTAAAGTTTATACCTGGGAAACAGTCCGGGGCTCTTTGGCTTTTGCCTCAGTGAGGTTTGTAAACAAACGAGGGAACACGAGGGGCTGGTTTGGCGTTTCCGCTGATCCCACTGGACGTTTAGAGGCGAGACCTTTACAGAACACTGATGGGCAGAGCCAGCCAGTGCGTGTGTGTTTGGGGGGGGGTCCCGCCTCGGCAGCGGCCTAAACTGGGTGTTGCACAGGTAGAGGGCGCCTCTCCATGATGCCCCTCCCCAATGTTTACATTCTCCCCATTTATCGCCTCACCTGTTCCTGTTCTGCTTGCGTTCCTTTGCACCCATTCCATCTGCTTTCAGGCCTTTATGTAAATATAGTGGCTGCTTTCTATCCATAAAAAGCAGAAAGGGACCGATTTAAGAGGAAGAATGAGGGAGGTGCAGCGTGGAGGTGTCACTTTGTCAGAGACCTCCCCCCCCCCTCCCCCGAGAGAATTTTAAGATGTGAAGTTTCCATCTGCTTCTCCCTGTCTGTGTGTAAATAACACGTTTCCGCCACATTTTGGCTCCGTCTCCGCAGGACTTGGCATGAGGACGCCAGCCTGCCAACCGGGGAGTCCCGCAGCCTGGAGCCCGGGACCATGGTGCCGCCCCTGCCACCCCCAACACAGCGGCATCAGGGTGCCTGGGGCTGCTACCAGCTGCAGTTCGCCATCCAGCAGCTCCGCCAGCAGGAGGCGCAATCCCAGCAGCTGCTGGAGCAGAGCCGCGCCCGGCATCAGGTGAGTCCCGCCAGGAATAATCCGGAAATCATCGACAGCTGGGCCCCTTCCTTGTTAGTAAGCACTCAGTTAGCACAAGTCGCCTTTCCGGCATTGCTTCTTGTTAAAAGCACACAGTTGCTGAATGGCAGCCCCTAGAGATGGCCCGAGCGTTTCCCTGTCAGCGCCACTCGGCCTGCCGGACCCATCAACGGAGATGTGTGTCGAAGGCCCTCGGAAATCGACCTCACGTGCTTGTCAGAGGGACCCCGCAGCCGAATGGTGTTTGCTCACCAACATCAGTTCCAAGAGTGAATTTCAATCTTCTGATCTCTGTCCATTTCCTTTATTGTCCTGCCCCCCCCCCGGACCCCTGCGCTAATGAGACCCTGCATTTCGTGCCAGAATCCACCAGCGATGGCATATAAGGCTCTCTCCGTACAGATGCCGCCTTGATGCTAAGCCTTCCTGATGGTCTGATTTCCCCTCTTTCGGGGCCTTCGCTTTGCTAACGGCCGCACAAAAGTTGGTGTGTCAACGCACCTGGGTTCCGCAATGTGTGTTTGTGTCTTGGGCTCTAGGAGCCCTTCTTTTGTACCTTTGTCATGTTGTACCTGCAGGGAGGTATTTAACATGAGCTAGTCAATGTTATACAACGGATACAAATCTAGCCATGTAAATGGTAAAAACCGTAACCTGGTTTTGGGGAAAATGTATAATTAATAATAATAATAATAATAATAATACATTATAGTGAAGCAGAGGACAGTGGTGCTGGGGCTGTTGGTGCTGGGATGACCTCACTGAAACCTCACCACAAGGAGTCCAACTAACTCATTGGTCCGCTGGATCCGGACCAGAGCTGGATCCGGGAGAGCAAATGCGCAGCTAATAATGGGAACAAATAAGAGGAGCACCCCGAGCCCACTTCCTCTGCGGGGGGGAGCCCCAAGTGGGCTCGCCGCCACTCAGGCTAAGGGGGTATCTTTGGGGAGGAGGCGTGGAGGTCTGCACCGGGGGCTCTCTGGCTCACGCCGCCTCTCTCGCTGAGCCGGAGGAGGCCGGAGGGGACTGTAAACATGCCAGACCCTGGGTCTGTGTCAGAAACGCTGCAGTGCCCGTCTCCCGTTCCTTTGATGGGGGATCAAAGGGAAAGTGCGAAGCGCGCTCTACCCGCGCAAAGTCAACACATAAACACTTGGTGATCCTCAGCCGCAGGAAAAGCTGATTGGGCCCCGAAAAAAGGGGAAGGCCCCGTCTTTATAGCCTGCACAGTATCAGTGTGTCCCTCTCTTTTCTCTGTATACTATCCAAATCCCCGGTAAAAGCGCACATGGCACCTCGCACTTTTAACAGAGCCCCCTGTTAGCATTAGCGAAGGAAATCTGGGGATTCCTTCCGGCGGTCCAGCGCGCCTTTCCTGAGCATCGCCGTCTTCTTTTTCCTCTCCTCTGTCTTAGTTCTCCTTTGCCCTCTCAGCTTTCTGTCTTATAACTGCTGGAGCGACGTAACAGGAAGTAGCAGCCAGCTCACCCAGCGGGTCTGACGGAGAAAATCACGCTGCGTTTTGTGCTCGTGACCATGGACATCATCCAGAGCTAGAAGTATTTTTTAAAAGACTTTGTTTTATTAGGATTTATTTGGAGAAATGTCTCTCTGTCTATTGTAATTGGAGCACAACATGACCATTTTTTAAGACCGGTAATGATAGCCCCCCCCCGCACCCCCTGGTGGCAGGGACGTGGCTGTCTAGATTGCCTACTTCCCTGCTGATCCCTTTGCGCTGACGTCAGCGTTCCCGTCAGGTCGGGCCTCATCATCAACAAGGAGATGATGCTTCCCTTGGCCGTGTGGCGTGCAAGTGATCCCTGTGACCTCCAATCCTCCCTTGATTCACTGCGAACCCCTTGTACAATTTCCCTGATGAGGGTTTCTGGTTAAAATAAATAATAATAAATGCAGGAAATGGCCCAGTCTCCATCCACTCAGGGGCAGGGAGGGGGCAGCGAGGGTCATGCCGTGACTCACCAGCTGTCCTCCACTCCCTGACTGTGGTCCAGTACATCCTCCGCCCTCTAGTTCCTACCTTCTTCTCCCTCTCTGTCTCCCGCTCTCCTAATTCTGTCTTCCTTTCTCCTTTGCCCCTCTAATTTTCCTCTACTTGTCTCCTGCCCCCCTCTTTCTATTTTCCACTGTCCTCTCCCCTTCTGACTCTCATTTACCCGTCTCCCACTCTCTTCTACCTGTCTGTCTCTCTCCTCTGGAACCATGTCTAGGTGTTGGTCATCCAGATTCTTAGCCCCAGTCCATTCAGCCGCCCTGCCCCTCCCAGTAAACTCACTGTAAATGCTATGTGTGTGTGTGTGAGTGTGAGCGGGCGGTGAGGGAGGTTCCAAGGCCAGCTGCCCGTGCTTACCCCTGCGCTCCGTATTTCAGTTACGGGCTGCAGACTGCGCGGCTCCTCCGCGTGCCTGGCCCGGCGCCACCTGGCAGCCAAAGAAAGGTGCCCTTCTTGGCCTGGCTCAACCGCCGCGCCGCTGCAGACCCTCCGACGTGGAAACTCAGCTTTTCATTTATCAACACGTAAATCGTTTCAAAATATTCCCTGTCATGCGGCGGCGGCCAGCGCCTTTGAAATGCGCCCCTTAGGAGCCAAACAGCGATTAGGCCGTTAGATACGCAGAGCGGCCTGGAGACCAGGCGTGGAGGCAGCCGGGGAATTGGAATGTGGCACGGAACTCTTGGAAAAGGGGTGGCTTTTAAATGTCACGGCGAAATGCGGCCATGTTTCCCAGGACTCCCAGTTAGCGGCTGATTTTCGGCATCGCCCGACCCAGCAGCAGGGAGTATGGAGCACGGACATGGGTGCAGGTCACGCTGAACTTGTCGACTCATCACGTTTATAGCGGTAGCCTGAGGATAAGAGCTTTTTCCCCCCCTTAAATTCAAATCGGGAACACGTTGCGCCCTCACGGCAGCCGGCCACTTGGCAGTCCTTCCTACTGCCCTGTAACGTTCACCGGCGGTTACGCCACAGCGGGCCTGGCAAGGTCTCCGTGGCGACACTCGCCGTGACAAGCCAGTGGTGTAACAGCTGCGTTTTTAGCGGTTTTGAAACCTTTAGAAATGTTTCTCTTGCTCCTGCCAGTGGTCCTTTTCGAGCATCATCAACCCTACAAATTCCTCTCTCCTTTTTACGCTTTAGCCTTCCTAAGATTATCCAGCTTGCCTACTTCCCATTCTCTGCCTGCAGTATTATTTTACAGGTATGTTCCTTTTGGCATGCCGGCCCTGTCGAAATTTGATGTATATTTTGACACCCTGCGTTCGTTAATCTGGCACGGACCCATACACATGCACACGGGACTTTTATCGTTTGAGAAGATCATGGCATCACGCTCATTGGCGTCACCGGTTCCGTCCACAGTCTGATGTGAATCAGCACCACTATCAGGATTAGCCACAGAGCAGCCTGGCTGTTCATTGGTCCTGCATGTTTGTTATCAGCTGCCGAGGTACCGAATTTGCCTTGGAAGTGACCTACACTGGAAGGTGACAGTGGAAAGGTTGGATATTGGAGACCCCTTTGCTTTGAAGTGCAAGTATTTTTTTTATCCCTATAAATACCTGCTGTGAAGTGCAGTGAGCGTGTGTGTTTGTAAATACCTGCAGTGACCTGCAGTGAGTGTGTGTGTCCCTGTAAATACCTGTTGTAAGCTAGCTCCTGCATTATCTCTGTTTTCTGGAACTGTTTTCAGACATCAGCCAGGTGAAGGGTTAATCATTCTTCAGGAATTAACTTCAGGTGCCCTTAAATACAACCCCGTAGAAGCTCTTCCAGGCTGCATCCATATTTCTTGGCAGGACGCTTGTTCTCTTTTAGCCCCGTTCACTGAAAGATGGTGTACAGAGCGGCATGTCTGGAACGCATGAGTGTTCAAGCTCTGGGCTTGTGTTTGGTCACATGGTTTTAAGGTTATTGTTGCTGTTCTTTTGGTGCCGGAATGTTCCGTGTTTTTTTCCCTCTATTCACGAGTGCCATGTGCCTGTTTTATTTATTTTTATTTACTGGTTCCTGGTTATTGCCAATTCTTCTGATGAACCAAACATTGGGTCAGCAGGCCGGGTGACCAGTAAACCTCTGTTCTGGGGCTTTAGCAGAAATTCGGCGCTGCCAGGCCTCGTAAACGGAGAATTAAGGGTAGCGCCAGCTTTTAAGATGTTTGTTCCCAGAGTTAATCCGGGCTTCCTGCTCTTGGATTCTGGCAGCAGCACATGCACCCTCTCTGCCTGACACCCTGCCCCATCCCATCCCATGTGTCCGCAGGCTGCCCTGTCCTCACAGGCCTTTGCCGCTCCACCCCAGGGGCTCTCTGGGGCCCCGGCCCTCCCAGCAACAGCCCTTCCGTTGTGGCAGAACCAGACTCCCGCCCCTAAGCCGCCCAGCTGTGCCCGGGATGGCCTCCTCAGGAAGACGGCACCACAACGCCTCCACAGGTGAGAGCAGGAAGGACAGAGATGAAATAATGTCAGTAATATCTGCTGTGCCTCTTTGTTATCATTCACTGGTGCTTTCCCGCAGATCTGTTACCCATTTGCGCTGTAAATATAGGGACCCACCGCCGCGTCTGCTGACTGAATGACAGCCGATCGCCAAGCGCTGAGGCTGCAGGAGCGCGGTCACATGGTGCTGGTGGATCTGCGCCGCACTGCACTGTAATCCTCATCCCGTATCTATCTGCCAGATGCTCCGACACCCAGGGACTCCCAGGCACCACAAATCACACAGCTGGCGTCGCCGCGTCACGCAGGCTGGCGTCCGCCAGGCGGGGAGTCCGGCTTATCTAGAACACGATCGCCGCTCTCGGGCCAATGAGAAACTGGCGGGCCGCGGTAATGACGGGAGTGCCCCCTCCCGTCCCGCCCCCACACGATGACTTCCGAGGGATTCTGCGAAGAGGAGTGCGACCTGGCCGCGGGGCCTTGCTTGTTATGTGTGGGGTGGGGGCTGCCATGTGTTTCCCACGCCGCAGTATGACTTTATTGGTGAACATCTGGCCAAATTACACAACAATGGCCCCAAACCCCCATGATAGCAACGGCTGTTTGTTTAAAGCACCGGCTTCAGTGGAGGGCTCCCCCCCCCCCCCGGCGAGCGCAGAAGGCGCCCCCTCCCTGCCTCCCACGCAAGGAGCATCCATTCCCACTGCTGTCAGGCCCCCTCCCCCGACCTCGCCAGCCGAGTGCCGGTCCGCTCGCATTCTTGTGGTGTGCATTAGCGTGTAGTCGGAAATGAAGAGAGGACGCCCATATTTGTTAGTTTTAATTCAATTTTTTTCCCCCCAACTGCTTCACTGGCATCGAGCCCGTGGATGTGGCCATGGGCCCACAACGGCACATTACCGGAACCTTCTCCACGTGGGCGAGGTCGCCGCGATGATGTCTGCATTGTGGGGGGGTTGCCAGTTTGGAGGAGGTGAGCGGCTGAACAGGGCTGTGATAGGAGGGCACCAGAGAGGTTTGCCTATAGGCATATGCACTGGGCTGAAAGCGCGAAGCCCGCTCTGGCGGCCCATCAAAGGGGTGTGGTTCACACGGGGACCGGCGAGGCAGTGAGAGCCGTGGATCTGAATGCGAGCTGGGGTCCGGGGGGCGGGGGGAGGTCCTCTCCTCCGTGCGTGCCTTCCTGGCAGCCACGGTGTTTACCCTCTGCGCGCGAAATTCCAGAGCCCCCTCGCGCTCTCCTGCGTGCCGCTCTTCCCGGCCCTTAGTGTCGGGAGCGAGTGTGGGAAAAGCGGAAAGCTGCATGAGCAGAAAAATGCACGGATGGAAAAGAAGATGGAGGCGGGGGGGGGGGGGGGGCTGAAAGAGGAGACGGTATTTCAAAGAAAGGAGGAGGCAGATGTTTAAGTCCTTCACCTCCGCTGTTGCTCTCAGTCCCGCTGGTCCTCGTCACCCAGAGCGCGGTCCCTCGCGGGATCGCACGCGCGTTGCTGTGGCCTCCCATCCGTGGGACGCCCCCTCCGAGTGGCCGGGTCTGAGCTCCGGCCTGCTGCCCAGCGCTGTAATCACTAACATGTGTTGTCCTCGCTTGCTTCCCGCGGTGAGATACAGTAACGATAAACACTGACAGTCGCCGAGTGGCCCTCGTGGTCCGGGGGACCAGCCCACACTCAGTCTCTGCCTCACGGCATTTAAGAGGTTAGGGGTGGGGTCCATGCTGCACCCGGACTGTGCGGCGCCCAGAGGGCATGGTGACACACTTCTCCTGGGACCTTGCAGCCAGACTAGTAGCAGGTCAAAGGAGGCGGGGGGGGGGTTCTCATTTGGGCTTTCAAAAATGAAAAAGCTTGCAATTTAGCCTCTGAAGCTGAATACTGGGCCTGCTGTCAGCTGCCCTCGGGGCCAGTCAGGATCCCTTCAGGAGGTTCTTACCTGCAAATGAAGCTGCAAACACCCCCCCTGCTAACGGGGCCCGGTGTGATCTTATCCCCGGCCCCCTGCCTCCCCAAGCTTCCTGTATTTCCCCCCCCAAAACGGTAGGTGTTTACATTTCCCCTCTGGCTGCAGCACCGGTCAACACAACGCCCTTTATCAGGTCCAGCTGTTGGAATCTCTCCTTTTTTCCATTTTTACTTTTTTCTCGCTCTGTGAAAAAGGGACGTGGAGCCCTGTAAACAGTATAAGTGGCAGGGAAGGCTTGGGGGAGGCGTCCTGGGCTGGGAGCGTGTGGGGGTCGTGAGGGTGGCGGGGGTCGTGGTCGCTCCGGTTTCGGCTTTTAGGGGAAGCCGTTTGTAAAGCAAACAAACCAGTATGTCCCTCATCGGGCTTCGCGGAAGGCTGGGGGTGTGGCGGGCAGCCTGGCCAAATTTTGTGTGACTTTTATAAGTGTATGAATTCCACCCCCCCCCCCATCTTAATGACAGCTTCAGCCACCCATTGCTCAGAATGGGTTTAGACCAGGGACTGCTGATGGTCAACCCCTGATCAGCACTCAGTGGTTTCGGTGGCATGTTTAGGAACTTTTTAGGGTAACATCCATCCATCCATCCATCCATCCATCCATCCATCTATCTTCTTACCTCTTGGTCAAAGTCACCTGGAGCCTATCCCATATATATATTAAACATATTTAATTCAAATTCAAATATTTCATTAAGCTGTAAAGATTAAATATGTAACTGTAGACCCCTATGTGTTGTAAAAGCGGTGTTTTTTTAATTTAAGTTTTAAGAAGTCACTCTCCGCTTTGATCATGTTGATGCGTGCGCCGGTCGCCATTAAAAGGGGCAGGCGCAGGATTTTAACAGACCCATAAACTGACCCCCCACCCCCGCAGCAGTGCTGCGTAATTGCACCATTCACAGTAGCTAAGTCGCTGGGGTGGTCACATGATCGTGCAAAAGGCGACACGTGCGGCCGCAGGGCCTGACTGTATACGCTCGTCACAGTGGCAGTGTGCCTTCGGCACGGCGCCATGGCGACCTGCTCTGCGCTAATGTATACTGCTTGGGAAAAATGATTATTTGGTTTTATGGGTAGTGCAGCGGCTCTGTCGGTCTAGCTGGGCCCCTCCCCTGCGGAGAGGAGGTCTCCCTGGGGCAGCGCTGATGACTGCCTGCGGGTTTGGCGGTGGGTGAGTGTTTTATCCCACCTCTGCTCTCTTCCTCTGAGCCCTCGCCCCCCCTCATAATCAAGCTTGTTTTCAAGAAATATCAGCTTGTTGCCTCTCCAAACGTTAGCATGTTACCATGGCGTTCTGGATGCGAAGACTCCTGTTCTGTGAAGTTCATGTTCAGGAATTCTGCCCTGTTTAAAGAGAAACCAGCAGGGGCCGAACCGGCAGCTCAACATCCATTCATCGCTTGGTGGGGAAACCCCCCCAAAAACAGTAATTAGGTGTTTCCTCTGAAGAGCGGGCTTTGCGGCATAATCCCATGCCCTGTCATTTCCCTGGGGTATATCCCTGGGTCTCATGTTAGGCCTGTGCTTTGTACCCCCCCCCCCCTCCACACCCCCCTGGACCTCAAGAAGAGGCTGACCTCAGCAGGAATTAAAACGTGGAGGAGAGCGGTAACCGTGGTGATAGGCTTCAGATGGTGTGGCACGGCACTGGCAAGGCGTCTGCGTCGTGCCCTATTGAGGCAAATGGCCTGTTCGGGGGGGGGGATGTGATCGCTTGGCAAAGCGGGCAATGTCTGCTCAGGGCCTGGGGGATGTGCCCCTCCCTGACCCTGTGCCCTGCTTGGGCTCTGTGAAGGTAAACCGTGACCCCACCCCCCCCCCCCTTCTATCCCAACACCTGTGGGGCAGAAAGGAGGGAGACAGGGGGTGAAGCAGGACATGGAGATGTGAGCCCCGCCCCTCCCCCAGTGGGGCTGCCCGCTCTGTGCCTGCAGGACCTGACGTAAACGCTCACTGCTATCGCCTTTCTGTTTACAGGCAGGCCCCTCCAGAGGTGTGGGCCGGCGGGGCCGGGTCCGGGTCCGGGTCCGGGTCCAGCGCCCAGCACGCCGTCCACGAGGCCGTCTGCAGGACAGCAGGTGGGTGGGCCTCCTCGTTCTAACCCCGCCATCACTGTTCATTCCCACGCCATTCCTGGCAGCCTTTTTAAACGGGAAGCATCCGCTTGGATCCCAGTGGCCCGTTGGTGTTTATGTGAGTCAGCAGACCACCCTCCACTGTGCGTGACCTTGCTGTAGGTTGGGGGGGGGGTTACAATGAGGACTCAGGCAGCCTTAGTTACAGCTCGTGAAGCAGCCACTGCCTCCCTCCATACCTGTCCAGCCCAGTCGCTGGCACGTTCTTACCCATAATCCCCCAGCCCCACCGTACCTGTCCAGCCCAGTCGCTGGCACGTTCTTACCCATAATCCCCCAGCCCCACCGTACCTGTCCAGCCCAGTCGCTGGCACGTTCTTACCCATAATCCCCCAGCCCCACCGTACCTGACCAGCCCAGTCGCTGGCACGTTCTTACCCATAATCCTCACCACTTCGCCTCCTCCTTTTACTAGAGCACAGGAGCTGATGATTTTATTGCAGTAACACTGATAGTCAGCAGTTTTAGCTGGATGTCTGTTACCCCCCCCCACGGCTTCCCCAGATCGATGGGCTCGTAATCTGTCACTGGCGTGTCTCGCAAAGCGCGGCTGAGTGATTACATCAGCGGGGGGGTAAGAGCCCACCATGGGACGTGGCCTGTGTGTGCATCTGTGATTCTGTATGTAGGTGTCATCGTTTAAAAAAAAAAAAAAAAAAAAAATGAAATCTCCCTCCCAAACAGTTCTAAGGTTCATCTTATAAACTCATCGATAACTGAAACCCAATCCTAGCGAGTGGTCTCTGGGTTGCATGAATGCATTTTTCAGCCTGTGTTTGGCATGGGGGGGGGGGGCACCGATTCTCTTGCTTGAGTTGAATTTCAGTTAAACCACATCGATGAGAGAGGGGAGACAAAGGCTCCCAAATCCCAGCCCCCCCAGGAATCCTGGAGCCCCACCCGGCCTATATACGCCATATTTTTTGCAGAGATTAGACCTAGTGTTTTTTGTTTTTGTTGTTTTTTTCCCTCATCTGCCTTCTCTTTGTTCCACCAAGCGGACGGCATTCCCTCTGAGCAGCTGTCGGGATGCGTTAGCAGAACCAGTCCTCCCCACCGGTTACTGGCACAGCACCATAGCTGACTGGGCACTGGGGTCAGGTTGGGGTGAGGGGGGAGCTCTGCTTTTACAGGGACAGCCTAACACCTTGGTCCTGCATGGGGCTCTGAGCTGGGAAAACGGAGCCGGCGTGGGATTAATATTTGCTCCCCTCATAGCGAACAAACGAATGTCGCTTCGGTGGCTGGGGTTACGTTTGTTTGTTTGTTCTTGGGCTGCTTTTGCTCACAGACGAAAGGGAGGCGTACATGCATGGCTGAGCCTGGCTGTTAGGCTGCCTTTCCATTGTCTCTTTCCCTCCATAAACTTGGGGGGGCTGGGGGTGGCAGAAAGGTACGTAAATTAGCACTTTCTAGACTTAAAAATGCAAAGTTAAAGAACCATCGGAATTAGTCTTTCGTCTGTTCCTCCCAACTTGGCCGTCTGTGTTCAAACTTAGAAACCTGTACACCCTTGTTTTTCGGTCCCTTTCCCCCCCACTTTTGTTTTTATCCCCCCGCGTATGTGCAGCGATCGCGTCACCATGTAGCGGCGTGGCGTTCCGGAGGCCCGTCCGCCGTGCTCTGGCCCTGGAGCGTTAAGGAGCACCAAAACAAACGTCTGCGCAGACCGCAATGAAAGACAATACTGTTTGAGAGCATGATCACCGAATTCCTCCGCTGGCAGGATTTCTGGCACGTAGCCAGGGGGCGTGGCCCTGCCGCCATGACAGATAATCTCTGTGGACCCCCCCCCCACTCCTTAAACCCAGCCTGGCTTGGTATATAGTGCCTTTGCGGGTTGGTTAGTTGCTTGAATGTACATATTTGAGCAGGTGTGGGTCTGGGTGTCCTTGATCGCCCCTCATGCGTGTCGTTCGTGTTTTTTCGTCTGCCCCGAAATAACAGGCCGTCCCCCCTCTGTCTGAGGTTCTCTCTCCCAGTCTGGGTCGCTCTGTCAGGACGCCCACATGCTTGAATAAGGTTTCCTCTGGTTGTTTTGGATGGTCTGAATTCGAGCGCTCAGACTATCTGGCCGCGGTGCCCCGGCGTTGGCCGTACCTCCGTCTGGGCCAGGCTGTAGGAACATGAAACACCTCCATCTGCTTGTTAACACCCCGGATCACGTATCACACGAGTGACTCTTCCAGGGAAACACGGCATTTGCGTGACTTAAACTCAGCCCCTCGACGCTTCTCTAAACACATGACGCAACGTGGCTTAAATTGAATAAGCTTTTTATTTTTTGGAGGTCTCTGATATTATAAGTATGCTTTCGAAAAATACCTAGTAGGAAATCTCAGGGTAATTTGATTACCTTTGGCTGCAGGGAGGGATACACCTGGGGATCCTTCGGGGAGCCATGACGGCTGTTTCGCATTTAGTGTGGAGGGACGTATAGCGATACCCCCCACCCCTCACGACCCCCTCAGCCTGGAGAGCAGGGTGTTGAACTCCCCACCCGGCTCGGTTCTCAGCTGCCTACCTCCGTCTCCACAGGTCTTTCCATTTGCAGCAAACTGTCCCAGAGCCAAAGCCCCAAGAACAGGTGATGGGGGAGGAGGCCGGGATCTGAGGCCTTCTCGGAATCCGAAGTGCATGCTGGGAATGGAGACGGCCATGGAAACATCTCAGAACCTCATTGTACGGGAAGGCAGGTGCCAGGCGGCTCCGCGCTGAACCGGGCCAACAGGAAGGGGCCGTGAAACTGGGCCCCATCTGCCAAAGCCGCAGGGGCAGACCTCAGCCCTCTCTGGACGACAGCGTGCGCGTCTGCGAAAGCAGTCCACACGTCTGTCCATCTCCGCTCTGGGGTTTTAGGGTGTTGTCTGCGCTGGAGTTTGCAGAGCAGGGGGGGAGGTTTGATCTGCTGTGGAATCTGTCTTGTTCACTTGTTCCATAGTTGACTTTGGGGGTCCCTACCAGGGAAGAGTCTCTCTATGAGGTGGGGGGAGATGCTCAGGGCCCCTATCACCCTCTGCTGCTTACTGTCCCCCCCCCCGTGTTTGTAAGCTCATTCTCAAATATCAGCCTCAAGTCATGTCGGTGGAGTGTGTTCTAGAAGGTTCTGTCATTACCACATGGAGCTCCTCTGCATTTCCAGAATGGGCTTCAAATCCTCATTGATTAAAGCATGTTGCCTTTAAGGAGGCTGAATTTCACACGGCAGCATCATATAGTACAGCTGGTACTACAGGGCAGTATCTGTAGCTGTGCAATGATTTAGCTACATGCTGCTGTTCCTGTCCCCAGAGGCTGAGGCTCTGCAAAGTGCAATCTCAGAAACAGCGCGTCCTCCCTGTGCTTAGTCACTGAACATCAGGTTTTAAATGTTTACATTACTGTTTTGAGTGATGAGTATATTTTGCTTTTCTAGATTTTAACCATTATTAATTTATATGTATATTTTTTATTTTGCATTTACTTATGCGGAGAACAATCTCCCACATCACCGAATAAACATGTTCATAGGTGCCTCTCTTGTGGCGATCCCATTTTCTGTGTTTTTATTTTACCTTTGAAGCGCCTGTCAGCGTCTGTATGCCGTCGGCTGCGTCAGCTAAGGGCCACTGAAGTCAAAGTCGTCATTTGTGGAGTAGAAGTGTACACTGGGCTGACTGCCCTGCTCTACTTGAAGCTGACACCTGCTTTTGAATGACTACAGTCAGAGGAAACGAAATCACTGGCAGTGTGGTTCTGATTGTCTAGGCACTGAGAAGCCTGTTACGTTGGTGGGGAAGCATTACTGTCTGCGGGGAAAAGAAACGTCAGTGTTGTCTCTATCTGGCAATTTCACTGGATACTTTTATGATGCAAGTTTATGTATGTCCATTGATAATTGGCTTCTGGTTGGTGTTCAGGTAATTCTACCTATTATTATATTGTTATATTGTAAGAAATATTTGAACCTGTTTGCTGTAGAATATGAATTTTCTAGACTCATTCGACTCTTTTCAATGCGACACTTAAGGTCTGTTTTTTGCATTAATTTCTCGACTTGTTCTGTCTCGGCTGTGAAGGGGCATGTCACTGACACGGGAGGGCAACTCTGCCGGACTGTCTGCTTTTTGGTTTTGTCTTGCGGGGAAAACACACTCAAATCAGTTTGTCCAAGATCTGTTTTTAATTAAAAAAAAGGTGTTTTCATGAATAACAGAAGTAAAAACATGAACAGTCTGTGATTTAGCAAAGTGTTCACTTAGTGACATACAATGGTGTTTTTTTTTGTACAACAGGAAAAATCCACTTCATTTATGAAAAAAAGTCCCTAAAACACTGTGTTGTGTAAATAGAGGTAAAAGCGAAAATGAAATAGTTTTGTTTAAATTTTTTGTTCTTTTTTGTTTTTTTAATTTTTTTTTTTTGTTTAAATTTTTTTTAAGAAATTTTTTTTTCCAGCATTCCTAAGATTTCCTAAGACTATGGGAATCAGTACTTTTCCTAGATTAACAGTGTTGGGGTTCCGGCGTCGAGCATCCCATCCGTCCTCTTCCTCATGTGACACGCCCTCCCTTCAGGCCCGGTCACTTGTGGTTCTGGTTCCATGCCCGGTTCCGGTTCCAGGTCCGGCGAGAGCCTCCACCTCGGCTGTCTGGGCTACAGTTATGTCCTCAAAGCCAGTAGGTCACCGCAAGGAAACAGGATTCTGTCCTTGTTCCATTTTTGTCTTTTATAAACATGCGTGTCTGAAATGCCCAGGGCTGTTGGGGGTGGGGGGGGGGGTGTTACAAAAAATCTTGGGGATCATTGTAGAGGCACTAGTGAGACGGATCTGAAGAGGTCTCCAAAGCATCTCACTCTGAAGCAGTCGCTGTGGTGCTTCAGGGCCGTGGGGGTCTGGCCACATGGCTGATGAGCTGGGGGGGGGGGGGGGGGGGGGGGGGGGGGGGTTGTGGGTGGTGGTCCGATTGCCCCTTACTCCGCCCCCACCCCGCTGACTCTGCCAAGCCGTGGCAGTGCACTCAGCTGCACTTGCAGGATTTGACGATCATGTTGGAGAGCTGTTCCACCTTGGGTGTCCGGCCCACGTAGTACAGGATGGTGAGGGGCTCCAAGTCCTGGGGCACGCAGCAGGGGGAAGCTGAAGCCTCGGGGTTCAGGGTGTTGTAGAGGCTCAGGAGCTGAGGGAGGAGTGTGCAAACTGTCATGTCAACGCACACAGCTGCCCTGTAAGGCAACACACATGCTGCACACTGCCGCATGTCAGAATGATTCATTAATTATCATATTATTACATGGTCAGACTGATATGCAGTGCTGTGTTCCCGGTCTAGATGACACTGAATCTCACACCCTGCTGAATCTCATGGAAAAACAAGAGTCGTCACTGACTTCATATGGCAAGGCGGACTATTCCAGAGCTTGGCATGCGTAGGCGCCGGACCCTCACCGAGCTGTGCGTGGTGTCGGCGCTCCGCAGGTAGGGGCATGGCCCAGAGCAGAAGTTGGCGTAGTAGCCCTTGGGCTCGTGGATCCACTTCCAGCCGAGGTCCTGCCGGAAGTCAATGTACAGGGGGCGCACGCAGCAGTTCTCTTCATAATTACTGCCAGAATGGGGGGTGTTATTTCGGCTTCTCTGTGCTCCGGTGGACCTGCTGACATGCACTCCCTCCCTCCGCCCCCGGATAAACACAGCCGGCTCTTTTCAACTTTTTACACTCTTCCGTCTCCTGGCTGGCACAGGCTGGCGCTGCAGAAGCCCGGAATTCCACCGTTGGGTGTGTCGTGCTTCCTGGAGCCTGCCCAGGTGCCTCCCGCCGCTCGCAGGCCGCCGACGCAGGGCCTGACGCCCCCACCCCCTCCCCCCTGCTGCACACGCGCTCCCTATGGAGCACCGGGGCAGATCTCGACAGGCAGTGCTGCCAGCACTCATTCTGGTGCCAAACCGGGTCGAGATGCAGAGTCACGGAGCTAACCCACATGGACAGCCTGCCGTCTGGTAAGGGCCAGGGGAGGGGGCCTACCTGAAGCAGTAGTTGGTGTCCAGCGCCCGCTTTCTTCGGCGGGGGGAGGTGTGGGAGTCGAGGCGGTGCGGGGGGAGCATCATGAGGATCAGGTGGGGCCACTCACGCGGCTCTTTCTGGTTCCTCTCGGGGTCCCCCTCCAGGCCTGAGGGGAGGGGCACACATCAGGGCTCCACCCCCCTCCTTCAACACCTGCACATCCGCTCTAACGCTGATAGCTAAAGCAGGGGGGAGCCCGGGGGAGACCACACCACTTAACGTGGGCCCTGGAATTTGTACACCTGCAACCGCCCCCAGCTGAGGGACCCAGGGCCCTAATGTAAGTGAGATACCAGACGGAGACCCTTCCCAGCATCTGAGTCACTGTCAGGAAGCGTAAACACAGGCAGGTTTTTCCTAGCTGTGAAGGGCCTGTGTCTGTGTCAGATCCTGCTCCGCTCCCCGAAGTCACGTGGGACTCGTGTTCTTAGCATGGGATAGTCAGCATGGGATAGTCAGCTTCCAGCTCACCCCACTCTCTGATGTCTGAGGATCGCCCACCTCACCTTTGAACTTGACCTGCAGCCGCTCGTTATTTTTCTCGTCAATGTCGCCGTTGGGCTTGATGGTGTGACAGGGGCAGTGGACACTGATCTCCAGGCCCAGGTTCCTTTCTGAGGGGAGAGGAGATGGTCGGCACTGGGGGGGAACGCTTTGCCTCACCGCCCCCTCCACAGGCTCCCCAGGAAGGGGCCACCTCCCGCCCCCGACTCACCTCGGTGCATGAGCCACTCCCTGACGGTGTCGGTCACGTCGAAGGAGACCCACTCGGGCGGCGCCTTGGTCAGCACGTTCTTGCCTGCGATGTAACGCTGCTTGCCGATGTGACCGTCCAGCTTCAGGATCTGCCGGGCGAACGATCGGAGTGACCACCAGTACCAGAGGCTCAAGACCACCTTCCGAGTTGAGCATGCCTCCGGATCATGGAGATCTGCCCCACCGGGGGGGACTTGGCCGGCCCAGTGCTCCGATTCACACGTCAGGAGGGGTTTTCCAGCCCTTAACACCACCCTTAAGGAGGAAATGTGTTCCCCCCCGCCCCCGTGACTCCTGTTCCTGTACGAGCAGTCAGTGGACAGTAATATTGGTGTATATGGCCAATGGGAACTGGCTCTCTGGCTGAGCCATTAATGATAAATGGAAAAACAATCCTGCACAATAAAAACAGGGTGGGGGAGCCTGCGGGGCTGAGTTTGGATAACTGCCCCCCTCCTCCCCAAATAATATCAGTGTCTAATCCAGCTTCCTGTGGGACTGCTGTGGCTAAGGTCAACGCAAGTCCCTGCCAATCGGCTCCCGCGCGTGTGTGGGGGCGGCCGACCGGCCAATCAGCTGAAGCCTCCACCACTGCTGACCCGCTCTCTATCTTTTCCTGGACTCCTGAAAACAGTCTGCAAGCCTGACAGGGCTAGGGTCCGGCCCGGCCCACCAAGGAGACAGTATGTGGCCTGGAGACATCTGTCTCCCCAACAGGAAATGATGGAACCCAGTTGTGGCTGTCGTCCCCTCACAGGGGAACATGCTGGGAATGGAAAGAAAGCTTCATACGGCATGCCCCCCCAAATATGCAGACACATGCAGATGCTCCTGACCAGGAGTTTCAGGGGGGGGCAGACATTTACCTAATGGTTACTCACCCAATATTTTGTGTGTAAGTGAAAACGTACCTCTGAAAAAAACCATAAATACATAAGCTCTTTGAGAATCTATGAATTCCAGTGAAGCCTTCATGTTTCAGTTTTTATTATTGTAAAGTATCATGCACAAGAAAACTGGCACCAGTAGGTATGGTTTATACAAAAGGTGGATGCTGAAGATGGTGAACTTCCTGTAACCTTTATCCACGTCCAGGAGCACATGCCCCCCGGGAACAGAGACGAGGAAAACGGTACCGGTACCGGTACGTACCTGGTAGAGCTCGACCCGCTGCTCAGGCGTGGTGGCGGCTTCATTGACGACACGCAGCACCCGGAACTCGGCCCGGAACAGGTTGGTGGCATTCCTCTCCATGGACGAGATGTTGAAGCGGGACACTTTGGAGGTGATGCCCTTGGGGCAGTAATGGAGCAGGTCGTCTGGAAGGGAGGGGTCAGGTGAGAGTGGGCAGAGCCACCACGTCATACCCACCCCAAACCCCCCCCCCCACCACCATGAGCTCTCGCTCCCTCTGATTTTTAGCTGATCGTGGGAGGAGGAAACCATCTGTAAGAGCTTTTCGGGATCCAAAGTCCGAGTTAGCGGGATCGTGAAATTAAAAACAAATGTGTCGCATGGTGGCCAGACAAACTAGTGTGCCCCCGGCCCCCCCACCAGCGGATCCCCAGCCCTCGGCAGGTGCTTGGGACGGTGGGATGCTGGGTAATATTTCAGTGTGACTGTTGCCCCATACCAGCGGCCTGTGGCGCCAAGATGGCAGCTGGTGGCTTTCGGTGTCGCTACGGTAACACACCGCTAAATGGGCTTGCTCCAGCTCGCTCCCACCGCGCGGTTTATTAGTCTAACAGGCAGCGCGCGGCCGCAGCGGCAGAAACAAGCGTGTGCCGACTGTTTTACAAGCCGAATGGAAACACTCATTTACGGCCAGGACCTCAGCTATTTACCCCCCACCCCCCCCCATTTTAAAAGACCATTTTATATCATTGATTTGCTCGTGAATAATATGAAAATTGCCCCTTCAGATGAGATTGATAATTTGAGGCCTTAATAATCATACCAGATGCAGGTCTGCTAGTCTGCGCAGGAGCAGCCGTGACGCAGTGTGAGGCTGCTTAAGGACGCGCCATCGCTTGTGGTACCTTAGCTGTTATCTTAACCTTCCAAGGGTACCAGGCTATTTTTAGGTGACCTTCCCATGCGAATAACAGAGTCTTCTCTTCCAACAGCGGGGTGGCGAGAGGTTAGCGCCGTGCCCCCGTCCCCAAAGGTGGAATCACCCCCGTCAGACAGCAGATTTGAAATTCTAATCAAGTCTTCAGTTTCCCTTTGGATGACCTCATTTTTCCTATTGCGATCTTTTGAGTTGGATTTCCCATTATGGCTTATTTTTGCCAAGACTCTGAAGGTAATTTGTTCCATGGCTGTGACTGCTAGGGATTGCTGGGATAATTGGAGTTAAATGTAGAGCCTAATTTATCCTCCTCCATTATCAGATTCTGAGTATCAGGACGGGACGTTCACATGAGCAGTGCTTCGATCTGGGTGCTTGTAGAGGAGAGAGGAACGTTGACGGACGAGAGCCACCGCTTTGATTTATGGCTGTTTATGCCTTCTGCGCGTAATCGAGATCCGTGTGCCATGTGCCGCTGGCGGTCTCAGCAGCGAGGACCCGCACGTCCGTCAGCTCCATGACGGAGGCCAAAGCTGTGGAAATTCCCAGTGCTAGCCATACCTGTTGGCCCGGTTAAGTTTGGCCCCCGAAACGGCAGCCTCGCACCTTCCAGTGCCGCGCGGAACGTCGTGTCGATCCCGACCAGCGGCAGAGGCCTTCGACAGCCCCTATGAATACTTTTCCACTTCAGTAATGCTTTTCCGAGTAGCTATTTTCTGCAGTGGTGTTGCCACAGAAGTGTTATTCTGCTAACTGTGTCTACCATTCATCCTGAATGCCCCCCTCCCCCCCCCCCTGCTTCATGATGCTGTGAGAACTGAGAGTCAGTCCTTAATGGAGGTGAGTCAGCCCAGGTACTCTCACGGGGGTGTTAGGATGTAAGAGGGGGGGCAGTTTTATTATACAGTGGGATTTCTGTTGTTGTGAGGTAACTGCAGGCCCATGTCTTACTGATCTTAGCTGATTTTTTATCCAGTCGATTCGGGTTAAATAACCTTCCTAAAGGTACAGAAACAGACCATTCTGGGGACTGACTGACTGCCAGCTGGTTCTCCTTCCTGACTGGAACACAACCATTCGATTACAGTGGCCTGCTGATTGTTTTTCAAATTTGTAGCTATAAGCCAGGTGTTCTGTCCCCCCTCCCCCCATATGTTATTAAGTAGGATGTTCTGCCCTC